GTGAAGGAGCCAGTAATTCCAGGGCTGCAGAGTTGTGATGCCAGTGCTTTAGTTCAGCCGTACAGCAGTACCTCTGCCACGTTACAGTCATTACTATGGGATTGTATTAGTCAACAGAATGACCTGTGCTGTCAGTGACCAATTAGGGTTTTTTTTTAAGAGTGGCACAAAGTGCAGTTAAGGATTCCTGCCTAACTGGCCTCCTGCAAGAGGTAGCCACGTCATTTGGAGTACTTTTGTGTAGTTCAAACACTGCCGTGCTGTTACTTAGAGAGAAGTCGCTCATTGCTGACTTTGTGTGCTAGGAGAAAAAAGAAAAAAAAAAAAATTGCTTTTTGCTGTGTGGTGTCCATCTTTTTTTTTTTTTTAATTGATTAGTAGGAAGTTGTCAAAGAAAAGTATCTGAGTTAATTTGGGTCTGGGAGGTCTTTGAGATGCATGATAGCTGCAAGATTGTTCCGTTGTGTTCTTCCTCCCACAAATCTCACCTTGAGTCCTTTTATTGGAACATGAAGCTGTGGATGGCCAGGGGATGTCATGTTAGACCCAGATAGTTTGAATGCAGCCGGTGTGATAGTTGAAAGGTTTATATTTTTTTTGTTGTTGACTTTGGCCTGGAAACCATTTATGTCTAATAAGACCTGTAGAAAAGCGCACACACACACTAAAACACCATGCACATATTGGCAACGGTGTATTTGTACACTCAAAATGAGACTGCATGCTAAACCAGAAGACCTTTAAAATTAAAATAGCCTGGTCATTATAGTGGGTGGGTGTGTCTACATTAACACTGCTGTGGCTGCTGCCTAGATAAGAGCCCCAGTACAAGACATCCATATGAATGTCAAGATAGGACGTTTAGGACCGACATCTGTTTGTGGAAAACATTGCTCGCATACATTTGTCTGAGCCAGCTTTGCCATGCCACAGTCCCACTTGTGCATGACAGGCCTCAGAGCAACCCTCCCCAATCCGCACCCCCGCCCCCGACTTTTTTGTTAAGCTCATACCAACTAGTACCTGTGTTATTTAAACTAATATCAATTTTCCTTTACTATAAAGGGAACAAATTGAGGGCGTCCACCTCTTAGTGCGTGGATGATAGCTAAGCAGCACAAATGGTCTACTAAACTTTTCCCTTGAACTTATTTTGGGAGGGGGGGAGAGGAGGATCCCCGCTCTGATCTAACACGTAAATGGCAAAACATCCCCCACTTCAGGCACAGTTCCCACTTCATGTGCAGTCAGGCATGAGCGCAGCAGAGCTGATGCTGAACACATTGTGCTGAAAAAAAAAAAAAGTCTTTGTGAGTGTATTGAACCTCTTTCCTTTTTCAGTTCTGGGAGGTGATAAGCGATGAACATGGGATTGACATCACTGGAAACTACCGTGGGGATGCATCGCTGCAGCTTGAGCGAATTAACGTGTACTTCAATGAAGCTTACTGTAAGTGCTCAGCACTGTTAGGGTGTTGGCAGAGCAATTTGCAGAGCCAACATGAAGGTTAAAATAAGTAATTTAAAAAACCATATATCCCCAAATCACTGTAGGTGGGTTGAATTTTTCAGGTAGATTATAAGCCTGTCTCTTTGACTTCTAACAGTAATTGTTCGCATTCATTTTCTTTTGTCCTAGCCCATAAATACGTGCCCCGTTCTGTCTTGGTGGACCTGGAACCTGGTACGATGGACAGTGTACGGTCTAGCAAAATAGGCCCACTCTTTCGACCTGACAATTTTATTCATGGTATGTACAGCATGCTGTCAGCAAACTAACTGGAGTCAACTGTCCCAAAAGGGCCTTTTAACTCCCACCTTTGTAGCCTTTAAAAATTCTCTTGTTAACTTTGTGGCTGTTCTTTCTGTAATTCTGTTTACAGGTAATTCAGGTGCTGGAAACAACTGGGCTAAGGGCCATTACACAGAAGGCGCTGAACTGATTGAAAACGTCATGGATGTGGTCAGGAATGAGTGTGAGAGCTGTGACTGCCTTCAGGGATTCCAGCTCATCCATTCGCTTGGTGGTGGTACGGGCTCAGGTATGGGCACGCTCCTCATCAACAAAATCAGAGAAGAATATCCCGACAGGATTATGAACACTTTCAGTGTTGTGCCTTCACCCAAAGTATCCGACACGGTCGTAGAGCCGTATAACGCTATCCTCTCCATCCATCAACTAATAGAGAATACGGATGAAACCTTTTGCATTGACAATGAAGCTCTATACGATATATGTTTTAGAACTTTAAAGCTCACCAATCCCACCTATGGTGACCTCAACCACTTAGTGTCCCTAACGATGAGCGGTGTCACAACCTCACTCCGTTTTCCTGGTCAACTGAATGCAGATCTGAGGAAGCTGGCTGTTAACATGGTGCCCTTTCCTCGCCTGCATTTCTTTATGCCGGGCTTTGCTCCACTGACAGCTCGAGGTAGCCAACAGTACAGAGCCCTCTCAGTGCCAGAGCTTACTCAACAAATGTTTGATGCACGCAACATGATGGCAGCCTGCGACCCTCGTCGTGGACGTTACTTGACCGTGGCATGCATCTTCAGAGGCCGAATGTCTACCAGAGAAGTGGATGAGCAGTTGCTGGCTGTCCAGACCAAGAATAGTTCCTACTTTGTGGAGTGGATCCCTAATAATGTCAAAGTGGCTGTGTGTGACATACCACCGCGAGGCTTGAAGATGGCAGCTACCTTTATTGGCAATAACACAGCCATTCAGGAGCTCTTCATCAGGGTTTCTGAACAGTTCTCAGCTATGTTCAGAAGAAAAGCGTTTCTCCATTGGTATACTGGTGAAGGTATGGATGAGATGGAGTTTTCTGAAGCAGAAGGTAACACCAATGACCTTGTTTCCGAGTACCAACAGTACCAGGATGCCACTGCAGATGTTGAGGAATATGAAGAGGTAGAAGTAGAAGCTAGCCCTGAAAAGGAAGCACTGTAAAAACAATGGTAGTATCAAAACATTCTCTGAATGAGCCTGTTGACACTCACTAAAGAAAAAGCAGTAGCCATCATCTGCCTACTGAAAAGAACAATTTTCTCAATAATTTTTTCTCTGTGTCTGGCCAAAATGTATCCAATACAATGCTTTTGAAATTAAGGGCAGCTATGCTTTACTCTCCTAAACAACTGTTGACACTGACTCTCTCCCAAAAAAGAGCCACTGTGAAGACAAGTTGCCTCACAACACCCTCTCTTGTAATGTATTCACTCCTAGAATATTATCACCAGACACTGAATGCAATATACAGCTTGTGTGGGCATATGTATCAGGATCATAAGCGACAGCAAAATATGCTATCAACTGATCAAATTTCTTTATTCTCAGGTAAACACAGTTTGTGTTTTGTTTGTGAACTTGTTACTGTTTTAGGAACGCATGCACATCTGTAGGGCAGATAGATAAAGGCAGTATCTATTTTATTGCACACGCCACAGCCTGATCTAGAGCTGCAGACAAGTTCAGTTCCTTAAGTTGCCCGGAGAGGGGAGGGGAAACAACATGGGGCAAAAGACTGAATATGTACATTCTTACTTTTTTTTTTAAAGCAAGTACTTTAATAGTTCTATCACATTGCTGGCTTATATTATTGCAGAGCTTGTATTCATTATCACTGTGTGGTTTGTTTCTGTTTCAAACTATAGATTGAGTTATATTAGCATACAGAGTTGTGAACACTGTGTAAAAGTTTTGGTGTGGTATTTCCCCCCCCCCCCCATGTACTCACTACTGTAAATTTTCTTCCTGTCATTCCGTACAGCAAAATGGATGGAACGGGTTGCAGCTAGTTAGATGTAAGTTCAATGGCAATCACTAAATCAAAAACATCTTCACTTCAGGAAAAAAAGTTTCTTGGCATTCACAGCCATCTACTTAAGACTGTATTTATAATACTCTTTAAAATAAATATTTTGTACCATTCTATAAAATACTTTAGTACGTGAAACATTCAATAGACAAAAATCATAGTTTATCCTTGTAAGGACTAACTTTAAATTACATGAAAAAACTGAGCTTGTTTTATTATGCTCTTCGAAAAGAGAGTTTATTATACTGTGAAGAAAGTAATGCCTCACGTTTGCGTCAACAGCAGAAGTGTCTAGATGAACACAAACCTGAAGCCAACTCTGGAAGCATGCTGTACCCCTCCTGCGCAGTGGGACGGTGTTAGTCTTGCTGTGAAGACACGCAGCAGCAGGAACAGGCAAACACTTCCCCCACACCAAAACAGCCGAAAGCACAACTTCCCCCCCGCCCCCGCCCAGAGCTAATGGAGGGTCACCCTCCGTTCCTACCGTTTCCCGGTGAAAGCGTGTCCCTCTCCCTCCCAGTAAAGTGACAAAGCGGTAACAAGGAGGACAACTCACTCCGAGTGATCGGAGTACAGCCCAGGGATTTCTGCGCCTCCTTCCCCACCTCGCAGAGGAAGCCAGGTCTCCAGCTCCTGAGTCACTGCTCAGTGTTCCAGACGGCTCTGGAGGCGATTAGCTCCCGTGCAGCACATCCGTGGCAAAATATGCTGCTTCCAGATTAGCCTTAACGCTAAGCCTCATCAAATTGATTTTCACTGTTAGTTTTGTTCTAAGCACAAATGGAAGATGCACACCGTGATGACAGGGAATTTTAAAGCCAACAGCGTACCACTTCCAGCAGAGAGAACTGACAGAGGTATTTTTAATTATCGAAATGATATGCCTGCACTCTCTGTTGACATAGGTTTTAGTGAAGAAAACTTTTTTCCAAAATCATTAAAATGAAGTAGACAGAAAAGTTTTAAACAACAATTAAAATCTCTCACTCACTGATGTACCTGAAATACCAGCATGAAATCCAACGAGAGATTTGCCTTAAAAATAGACATATGTTGTTACTGAGTGGGAGACTGTGACAAAAACAGTCTTCTAGTTGAACACAAGTGAAAGATAAATGTCTCTGCAAAACAGAGTACTTTGTTTCAAGAGGAACAACGCTTTCCACACATTCATTTGTTTAACAGAAATTACATTTATTGGCATGCTGATTTACATAAAGAGGCAAGTTTTACAGTTAATGTGATTACATTATATTGCAGAGTCTTGAGCTTGCCTATAGCTTTGCTGTTGAGAGTATTCACCACAGATCAGTTCCTATGAGAGATTTAAAATACAAGTTATTCGATTCAAGAATATCTACAAGGTATGCTTCAAACAAAAGGTAGTAATATTTAATCTCAGATCAGGAACAGAAGCTGTTCTACGTAGAACAGAAGAGATTTCAGCCGCTTGTGGTGTATGCCATGTCACAAAGGTGTAAGTAGCATCTACCTTTCACAGACAGCAGATAACCCTTACACAAATAAGTCTGCTGATTAGGGGAAACAGTAGGTCAGAAGCTGTCTCTTGGCTTAGTAAAGCGAGAGACAGGAAACCTATGAACACCACTACAGAAACTCAGCTGTTTTGCATAGGTCCATAACACCTCTGACCAAACCCCAAATCGTTCAAAGCAGGGCTAGATGGAGAGAACATCTTATTTTACTGAACTAATGAGATTATGCAGACTCCTATCCCACACGTAATCAGGATGCAGAGACATCTGCACCCAGTTGCACTAAACCAGTCAGCAATCCGCTCCAGTTTCACGCGTGAAGATCAGAGCCCGTTTTCCACATATAGCACGAAATGAGCCAAGCAGTTACAGACCGTCATTAGCCCGACTCACACTGGGAAACCAACACTCCTCGTATAAAAAGCTACAGTAAGGCACCCCAGCCCATTCAATTCACTTACGTTTTATTCCTTCTTGGGTTTCACAGTTTTCACAGTGGCCATTGCCGCCCTCTCTGCCTCTGCTTTGTACTGAGGCTTCATTGCCGCTCTCACAACCTGGGCGCAGATCTGGGAATACCGGATGTAACTACAGACAGGAGAGAAAAGCGGGGCGAAAGCGAAGGTGAGACTCAAACGCGTCCCAAAAGCTCCTCCACCCCCTCCAGAGGCACCGCTGTGACCCCGCCAGCCCGCCCTGCGAGGCCCTCGCCTCCGGCCGTAACAGCTATCGCAAGGAAGTCGCGAGAGGAGCCTTGTCGACGCCAGGCGGGTACCTGAGCCCGGCCTGCCGCCAGTACGCCACCATGGCTGCGGGCCGCGGCTCCGAGAGAGACAGGGGCGAACGGGCGGCTCCGCTCCCGGGCAAGGTCAGCGCCCACCGGAACGGGAAAGACCACCGCGCTGCGTCCTAGCCAATCAACAAGCAGGAATGATCCCTCCGCCAATCGGAATCCGAATTACCTCAGGGAGGCTGACCAATGGCCAACTACCCAGTCGCCCCTCCAGTCACAAGCGCTCTCCTCTGGCAGCGACCAATCAGAGGGCTGAATAAGGCACGCGACTCCCGGCCGTTCCTCCTGAGGAGCCCCGGCCGCGGCCTCGCCCTTTCCCCTGCGCCGCGGGAGCAGAGCGCTGGCCCGGGGCAGGGCGGCTGGAGGCGTCCCGGCCTCGCTGTGCTGTCCTCCCGCAGGCACAGGGATATGGTCCGCACCACGCCACACCGACGTGTTTCTCCCAGTCGTGTCGTGTGTGTGTGTCACCGTAGGAACTGTTTGGGAAAGGTTTGGGGCCTTCCCTGTTTGGGAAGGCCTCGGTTCCCCCGCCGGGTGTGGCCAGCTGGCACCTGTCTCGGGGGTCCAAAAAAGCGTGGGTGTGTGGGGCATCTTCCGTGATTCAGAGCCGGTAATTTGCCAGAAACAAACACTACTACATGTCAGTTACCTACAGAACAGGAATTAAAGCCTGACTCTTCTATGAGGCTAATGGCTAGTTATATAGCACTTAGGTTAGGTACATATTCACTCGTTCCTAAGTAGTACTGTTGTAATCTAAGAATCCGGGTTAGGTACGTATTCACTCGTTCCTAAGTAGTACTGTTGTAATCTAAGAATCCAAGCAAGTGGTTAAAAGCATGTTTTTTTCCACCTGTCTACACCATCAGTTCTTAGCTTCTAGATACGACTGTAAAGAAGAAAATGGTTTACAAGCATGTGGAGCCAATGATTTTTATAACACGGACTCTCTTCAGTTTGGGGTTTTAATCCGTGTGCGGGCAAGCTGTGCCATATTCGGAGTTTTACCCTGTTGCACATGATGCCTTGGCATGGGATTCTTTTGGATATAAGACCGTTTATGCATACATCTGAAATTATATTCAATCACCTGCTTTAAACAGATTGATAAAAGACAACATAGCAAACTAGAAGCTATCATCATCTGTCGACAGTTGATGGAAAAATAGACAATTTTCCATATGTAATAAGCACAAAGTTATGAGACGACTGAACTCATGTTTGATAAGGAATCAATTTGGTCCTAATCCAATGTTCATTTAAATAATTAGGACTAAGAATTTAAAGAGATTATGGATTGGGCACTTAAGTATGTACACCTCTTCTCTCTATTGCTTCTGTCCAGAGCCAAACCACATCACAAAAGAGACAAGAATCCTCCAGAAGCTGCACAGGCCTTGAGGAAACGCTGGTGCCTTTGGTCCTCCTTGCAGAGAGGCTTTGTGCCTTGCTGCCGGTTTTTGTATCTGCTGAAGTGCAAATCCCTGGAAATCACACAGTGATTTCACATCACTACACAGCGATGTTTTCGCTTACAGTACAGTTGTAAAGCACAGAGCAATTTTCAGCTTTATTAGAGATCTCACTTAGTCCAGAGCCACTGCAATTAACAATCCACACATCATAATGTCAGTAAAGATCCAGCAGAACAAAAAGAGCAATTGTTCACCAGATATGTTAGAGTCTGTCTCCAGGATAGCATATGACAGTAAGAGAAGATTGCCTGTTAGTGTAATGAGTAGGAACACCAACTGGGAAGAAAGAGTGGGAAGATGGGAAGAATTTCCTGTCCTTAATTTGCCTACTTAATCACTCTACTGCGATTACTGAAGAAGACTCTAGTTAGTGCCAGTTGTGATGACATTTTGAAAGCGGACACTTTAGGATGCTACATTACACTAGCTCCTTCCATCTGGACCAATGATTTGTGATTTTTTTTTCTATTATAACTGCTAAACGATTTTGCTCCTATTGAATTTGGGGCTCATTTCTAAAATCCATGTATTACAATCTTTCCTACTTAATTTAAAAGCAATAACTAGTATAAATGAGGCAGAAAATAATTCCTATTATTTCATGCATTTATTTCCTTATTTATTTTTTGTGCAAGCCATTTTTGTCCTCCTAATTTTGAGACATACATGGCATATTGGAGCAAAGCTTTCCAACTTGTAAAAAATGAAATCAGTTAAAAAATGTGTGTTATGACAGGCAGCATTTTTAACACAGAAAGGGTGCCAGGGATACGATATTGAAACAAAACATACTTGTTTTCTAAAAACCCAACTATAACAATGATAAGAAAAAGATACAAGAAAGCACCAAAGATTTAAGGAAGGCCCTCTCTGCTACCTTTGCAACATATTTGATGCAACACAAGTGACTGCACTACTTACATATATTGATAAAGGGATGTTACATACAAATGCTGTTTTAGTGGTAACATCTCATGATTTGATAGGTAAAATAATTATCAGTAAGATTATTTAAAGCCTCATGGGCAGCCCAGGCCACAAATACGGCTTGGCAGAAAAAAATTACGCTAGCAGAGATGGACATCTTTCTTCCAGCTACGTGTCCCTCTATTCCCGCCCCACACCTTTTCCGATTCTTCTCCCTATCCCCTGTTTCTCACCTGCTCTTTTTTGTCCAGTTTTCTTTTCCTACCACATCTTCTCTCTCTGTACCTCCACGTGAAATGCCAGCACTTCTGTGCAATGTACTCAGATTTAAATCCATAACAGAGATACACAACTTGGATGCAATTATTTGCACGTTTAGCTCTGTTTACTATTTGTTGATCTTGAAAGATAAAAATTCAGCATGAATTAAAAAAGGTAAACCTTTGGGAGAGGTACCGTGCTGAGCCAGAATGAAAATTAGATTAGTGACAAACTGTGCTCTACAAAAATTCCAGAATGTATACTGATGTTTATGCAGCTGTAAACAAGGCACCATTATAGATTTGTATGACCTGTTTTCATGCCCAGTTCTGTTTAGATGCTAGGACATATTTGCAAAGCGCTAAACTTTCCTCAGATAAGAACTTTCAGAAACAGAACTTAGGAAAGAGCACATAAAGGAGGAAACTTTAGAAAGGTATAGAGAGGTTGCAGAGAGAAAAAGAGGTGTGTTAAGAGGGTTAGATGCAGAGATCAAGAGCAGCTGAAGCGGTGCGATTAGCAACATCCAGAAATGTGAGAGTGGATAGGTCTGGGGAAACTAAAGATGTGAGATTAGAAATGTCCAAAGAAACTGAGGAAGTGAGGGAAGAAGCAGCCTGAAAGGTGAGATTGGAGACATCCAGAAAGGGTGTAGAGATGAGATTAGAAACATCCTCAGGGGTCGATGAGGATAATTCAGAGGAGCCCTGAAACATGAAATAGTTAAAATCGGTGAGATCTAGTGATTCTGAAGAGGCTGAGGAGGTGTGGTCTGAGAGACGTAGTGAGGATGGAGGGATTGTACAGGAAAAGTCCAAGGAAGCTGAGGAGGTGTGACTGGAAACATCTAGGGAGGGTGAAGACGTGAGACTGGAGAGGTCTAGAGAGGGTGAAGAAGTAGGACTGGAGAAATCTGGGGGGGGTGAAGAGGTGAGACTTGAGAGATCTAAGGAGATTGAAGAGCTGTCGACAGAGAGATCCAGAGAGCCTGATGAAGTGAGACTTGATAGGTCCAGTGAAATCGAAGAGGTGAAACTGGAGCGCTCCCAGGAATCTGAAGAGGTGAGACTGGAGAGCTCTAAGGAGATTGAAGAGGAGGTACTGGAGAAGTCCAAAGAGCCTGAAGATGTGAGACTTGAAAGGTCCAGAGAAGATGAAGAAGTAAGACTGGAGAATTCCACAGAGGATGATGAGCTCAGACTGGATAAGTCCAAAGAATCTGAAAAGGGGATTTTAAAGAGTTCCAAGGAGGCTGAAGTCTTGACACTGGAGGGGTCCAGGGAGGCCAAAAAAGTGAGACCAGGTAGGTCCAGGTAGATTGAAGAGATGACACTGAAAAGCCAAGTAAATCCACAACATGACTGGTGTTAAATCAGAAGTATTTTAAACTAAAGATCTCTAATAACATGCCAAAACAAAAAGACATAATGAACCCAAATAATACTACTTTTGAAAATAACTAACCATACAGTTTTAATCTTTATGTCTCTCAGCGGTTTCTTTTATGGTGCAGAAAACTCTAGTAAGAAGAGCACACAGACTTATTTAGAATATTGCTCCTTCACAGAGGACCAGTACAGAAGTACAAGTACAGAATAATACAAACAGTAGCAGACTTTCTTCTGTTCTGGCATGTCTCTCCTTGTTCAACCAGATTTTAGCATCTATGATAGCCTGACAAAGAATATCCTCCTGTCAAATGCCATCTCCCTGTCCTGAAGGTCTGGAATAAAATAACAGTTATGTAATAGAATAGAAATTAAAATGGTTTTGTTCTTGTTTTCCAGATACCATAGGATATTCAGATACTAGGCTGCTAACTGGTTATGGAGAGAAATTTAAAAAAAACCCAAAACCACCACAGTTGTAAATGGCAATTACAAGTCAAACTGGGCCTCTGACTATAAAGGTATGAGGGATTATTTCCTTTTAATTCAAAACATCTAACTAAAAAATGTGGATCTTCCTGATGATGCTAACAAAAATGGCAAAGAAAACAGTATTTTCCTCTGCAGCCTGTGCAGGATTTATTTTTGGAAGCTAGCAGTATGCTAAACTGATTCTGTCACTAAGAAATAAACATTTCAGCAACATTAGTTCTACTTGTTTTTCAGGTAAAGAGAGGCCTTCTTTTATTTTATTTTGTACCTCTGGACATAAAACCTGTACTGTAGTAACAGTAATTTTAAATTTGTGGTTAGTTTGAATTGTTTAATAAAAATATACTACAGAGAAATTCTGATAGAAGGCAGACATCTAATTAAAAAAGGAACAGAACAGCTTATATTTCAGTTCATAAAGGTGCATCTAATTATAGTATGAGTAGATCAAGAGGCTGATCTACAGCTGCCTTCTCTCGCCTCAAGACTGTGCTGCAAAGCAGAGAGTAGTTGAAACCTGCTGTTGTCTTTCCAGACGTAGGCACAGGAATGCACATGAAGTTTTTCAGAGAGTC